TGTCCGGAGTAAGTCCTTCACTCTCATGCCATACCTGTAATCCAGGGGCTTTTCATATTTGTCAGAGGGCTTGAGGCCTTCATATACCTGGGGGCAAGGAGGAAAAGGGAGTCATAGGAAAGTATGTCAAGACCTGGCCCCATACTTGCCCAAAGACCTTGTTCAGGTCCCTCCTGGCCTTGGCCCTTGACTGGTCCTATTTCAGTCTGACCCTAGGTGGTCCAGACCTGGGTGAAGACCGCATTCTTGCAGGCAGGGTCTCGAGAGGGGCAGGCACGGTGTTCCATGGCAAGGCGGCGGTTGATGTATAGGCGTGGCATGAAGCTGGGCTTGCTGCTCTCCGAGTCACGCAGGCACTGAGCCACCAGGCCGGGCCGCTGGCGGGACAGCAGTAGGAACTGCTTCACTTGCTAGTGAGGAGAGGTGGTCAGAGCAGGATGAGTGGCAGTCAGCCTCTGTCCAGGCCCTGGAACTTTCCTCTCTGCCTGTATTCAATTCTATCATTTCAGTCTAAGTCTAGTCCATCCCTGTCCTTGTCTCCAGTCCCTTCCTTAGTTCAGCCACCAGCGGGGGAGCTTTTTAAAACAACAACAACAAAAAATCTAATATTGTCATTACCTTGCTTACCACCTTTCCAATAGCTCTACTACCCTGGGACAAAGTCCTTGCTTCACAGCCTAGCCCACAGGGCCCTCTGCAACCAGGACCTGCCTCCTGCCCACATCCTCCCACCCTCTTTCCTCTGTCACACTCATGCCTTCCTGAGCACTTTTCCCAGGTCATCTTGAACTGCTGGTAACTCCCACTATGTACCTATCCTGTAACCTGCCCTGCCTGTGCTGTCAATAGCCCTTGGGCATTCCACACACTCATATGGGGAACAGCCTCCCAAATACTAAATTTGGACCATTTGTTCTGACTTTCTTCCTATGTTCCCAGACCTAGCAAAGGTCTTGCCCTAGAGGTTTTAGGAATTCTGCTAAAGAATGAACAACTACATGAGCAGGAAGGCGGAATGCACTGCCAAGACCAGCACTGGGTGGGTTGGCTCACCTTAATCTCACTGAAGGTGCCCAGTGTGTGGTCCCAGGCAGGTACCAGGTGGTGCAGGACACTATCGAGGATCTTGATGAATCTGGCATGGGTAGGTAAAGATTGACTACAGCTTAAGTTTGGCATACGTGTAAGATCCCCAACTCCCCAACACACAGGGACAGGAGAAGACAGGACCTGGGGGGTACTCTGGCCCTTGAACAGCCTACACTATGAGACCTTGGGGACTTCATCCATGCACACACGCAAGGCTCAATGTAGGGGGAAGGGAAGGGCCCACAGGTCCAGGACCACAGCCACCTCTGCAGGAGGACAGCTCTGCGGTACAGTACTTCCGGGTCGGTGCCTTCCAGGCGTGGATATCGCACCAGACAAGTCGGCTGGAACAGGTCTGCATTTAACCCTAGTTCCCGCTGTCTAGACGACTTGATCTTCACTCCTCGGAGACGAACATCAATCCCATCATCTAGGGGAAGGGGTCAGAGTGAGGTCATTTATGGCACCTGCTGCCTCCTTGCACCTCAGGCCTGGGAATGGCTCCTTGGATGCTCAGCCTTTTGTCACTCTTAGCCCTTAGTAACTCAGGACCTTGAAGATGACCTTCTACCACCCAATTCTAATTTATCTATTCCTGCTGATTCCTCTGTCTACCACTATAATGGTGGGATGCCTAAGGGTCCCAACTCAGTTCCTCTTCCAGGTGAGCCCAACCACCTGTATGGCTTTAAGGTAGGCCTACACCTGGCACGTCCCACCTAGCTGAGGCTCCAAAGCTTCAAATCCTGGAGTTAGTTCAGCATCACCTTCACCCCAGCTCCAAGCCCATCCTCTTCTTTCCACACTCACTGTCTGTTTGCCCCATCTCCACACTGGGCTCTCTTTCCCTCCTTATAGTCTTAAGCTTCACCTCGGCACTCCACGATGCGAATCTCGATGATTGGGAGGTGGACAGTCATGTCTTCCAGGACACAGACATCCCCGATCAGGGTCCTGAGGAGATGAGTGTGAGGCACTGCAGATACTCCCTGTCTCAAGCCTTCAGAGATTGCTGGAATCTCACTCAAACTTAGGCTTCCAAGCTGGGCCAGGCTTGGAACACACCCTACTTCCCTCCCCAGGCCAGCCTGCTCACTCGTCAATGCTCACGTCACTCAGCTTCTTTAGGTTGTCTCCTTCGCCCCCATAGACTACCACCCGCTTAGGCATAAAGTTGTCATCTGTGGTATCGACCGTGAGTAGCAACTTCCTGAAGGGTCAGAGTGTGAACATGGGTCTTTGTGAACCCACAGTCACATGGCTCACCCATCCTGTCCTGCCCAGAGCCTACTCACTTGACAATGGTGCCCTTCTTCATGGTAAGCCGTACCCAGTGCTGGCACTGGGACCCATCACTCTCCCAGTAGGTATCAGCATTACTGTCTGTCAGGCAGGACACATTGAACTCCTCCTGGGCAGGGGCAGAGAGGTGGAGTCAGCAGTTACCCTCCCTCCCTGCGCAAGGCTTGTGCTCTGGGCCAGGAGCATCAGAGAGAAAGCATAGTGAAGCTGGGCTAAAGAACAACTGGTATGGGATGGGGGGGCCGGTGGGTGTGTAGGGGTTCCTATATACTTCTAAGATGGGGAGCTGAACTGAGTGTGGCCCGTGGACACTCTGTTTTGGTCCTGGCCTGGAAGTGGAAGTTCTTTCTGGATCTAGCCTTGAGGGGTGTGACTATATTTTGCCTGGGGTGGGAGGAGCCCCAGCACCCACCGTGTAGGAGGAAACGTCTATGCTCTCCACATACTGCTTCACGCTACCAAGGTTCTCATCCTCCTTGCCCAGGTGGTCATACAAGAAGTGGATCAGGTCCTCGTCGCACTCGTAGGTCCATGTCGGGGGTACATAGCTAAGCAACCCCAAGCCCCTATTAGACTGGGCCCAGAAGCAGAGCTCCTTCCTCCCCACCCCATTCCATCTCACTCACAGTAGCCTTTGTACAGCTTCTGCGTATGCCTCTGCAGGCTGAGGTCTCGATCCCAGGCGATGTGAGTATGTCAGGTCCACCACCTGTTCCCACCTGTGGGCAGAGAGTAGGGAGTAGGATGGGGAGGCATCAGCAGGCAGCAGGACATTAGCTCCAGGCCTTCTCCAGGGCACTATCTCCCCGCCTCCAGACACCCCACCCGAGCCCCCTTCACGTCCCGCCCCTTACTGTTCTTAAGGCTGCCTCGGCTCCAGTATCCCACCCACCCCAGGCTGTGGCTGAAGTGTTCCCAAGCCCTCCTGGCCCCGCCATGTGACATGTGCAGGACCTGAGCACTGGCCGATAATCCACGCCAAAGAGCTGCTGCTGCCGCTGGAGGTGTTCAGGAGTGTCGATGGGTACCAGGCGGGCTCCGCCCTCCGCCGGGCGGCACACCAGCAGCCAGCCTTCCTGCAGCTCGCAGTCGCCCAGGTGCTCTGCCAGCTGCTCCTGCCGGGACGCGCCGGATGGGCGCAACTGTCAGGGAACTGCCTAGCCGCCCGCCCTGCCCAGCCCAGGGCAAAGGGCACCGAACGCAATCCCAACTCAATACAGGGGAGGAAAGGGAAACAGCCAGAGGTTTCTCTGGTCCAGGGGGTCTTTTACAGGGTCCTGGGCAGGGCAGAGCGCACCTTGGTCAGCTTCACCCAAAGCCCGTGGCCATTGCACAGCTCCTCGCCCGTGGTGCGCACGCAGGCGCCCCGCCGGAGCTCGATGCTGTCGCGAGCGGCGCGGAGGGGCCCGGAACTGGTAGCTGGGGCTGGGCCTGCGGCGCCCACACGCAGCCCCGAGCCCTCTGCCTCCCACACGGGCAGGAGCACGCGCGACGGTCCCGCCGGGTCCTTGTAAAGCTTGTAGAGCACCTCTCGCGGCACGAAAGCCAGCGCTGCCGGCAGCGGCCGCCCGGCGCGGAGGTTCCGCGCTGCCTCCGCCAAGAAGCGCACTCGGCCCAGCAGCTGCCGCGGTGACTCCAGCGCCGCGCCCGGGCCGGGACCCGCCATGACGAAGTAGCGGAGGGCAGCGCCTAGGGGCGACCCTGCCTGGGGAATAGCTGGCGCGACTGCCGACTGAGCTTCCCACCACGCCCTGCCCCGCCTTTGGCCAGCCTTACCGTATGTTCTGGACAAAGCGCGCCCCAGCTCTCACAGTATTGCCCTGTGTACTCCTACACTCAACCATATTACCTACCTCTGTGCCACCCTAACCCAGCCGACTAAACCCAAGATCGGTGATTTCTACCTGATTGATCTCCCTTTCTCCATTTCCTTGCTGCTACCGTTTAATTTCTATTGCTACTACCCTTATTCAAGTCACCATTCTATCTAACCTGGATCATTGCAATAGTCATTTTTCTGGTCCTTCGGCCGGCTGTTTTTCCTCCCACCTCCAACGAGTCGTTTTAAAATCAGCTAGACTCCCTGTCCTATGGATGGTGTGACTAAAATGTTTGAGAGAATGGCCCTTTCTCCTGCCACTGACAGGCGTTTTGAGTTATTTGGGTTGACCCTGGTTGTCACTCCTAATCCCAAGACCACTGGTGATCATTATTCATTTTAATGTGATTGCTGATTTCTGTTTCCCCAGAAGTCTTGTAGTTCCTTAAAGGCCGAAGCTGTCTTGAGCAGAGAGCTAACCTCTGCACCTACTACAGGTCCAGGCTCTTAATGGGTAATATAAGTACATGATGATTTCAGTTTCCTGTACAGCCTGGTTCCATCATCCTCAATATGCCTGGTTGGATAAGACTGTTAAAATCGTGAGTGGGACTTGCGCCAAGCCTCCGGCATACTCAGACCATCAAATGAGAACAAATACTTCATATCACTGTAAGATGTAGTTATAGCGGAGTTCTTTCTTTTGGGCGTTTGTTGTTGCGTCGCTACAGCAGACTTTACGGTGAAAAAAGGTAGGGGTCCTACGGGCGGCAGCCAGGGCAGCCCAGGAGCTGTCGCTGGAGTCTGATCATGTGATCTTCAACATGGCGACGCCCTTAGTGCCCTCCAGAAAGGGGCGGAGCCTAGACCAGGGAGGCCGGCTCAGATTCAGGTTAAATTGAGGATTGAGCTCGCAGTTACAGCTAACCATGGAAGCGAACGGGTTGGGGTGAGTTCTCCAGAGCACGCGGTGTCAAATTAGCTGGGCGTCTAATTTGAGCATTTCAACTCAGGGCTCTATCCGTGTACTCCCCTTTCCCCACCCTGGAGCTCTCTCAACGTGAACTCCGTTAGCTGGGATCCTAAATCCTAAAACCATGGATTTTTGAGACCTTCATCCCAGGGGCCTTAATTCAAGGGATGCTTCAGAATTTCCAACCAGGATTTCCATTCTGGGACCATCAACTTTGATCTCTCTTTGACTATCTCCCACCCTGGGGAATCTGTCAGCCCATGAACCAGCCCACTGATAACCCTGTTTCTGAGACTCTAGTCCGAAGACCCCCAGACTATCCTTACTGGGCCTTCATTCCCTACCCCCAGTCCCTCTAGTTGCTTCGAGCTTGAGAGAGTAAGTACTAAGTTGAGAGAAGAGGCCCCAGCGCGGGCCCTTCTAGCGTTTGTGCACCACCTGATAGGCAGAGAGGCGGCGGAACGGGTGGCCTGGAGGAGGTAGATAGCGGTCCTGGACTGAATCGGCCTTATGAACCTGCCCTTTCCCCAACCTTCAGCCTAGCATACTGACACCTACCCCCACCCCCCACCTGATCGCCAGACTTAAGGGTTTTCCGGAGCTGAAGAATGACACATTCCTGCGAGCAGCCTGGGGAGAGGAAACAGACTACACTCCCGTTTGGTGCATGCGCCAGGCAGGCCGTTACTTACCAGGTGAGAGTCAGGGCCTGAAAACCTAGATAAAACTTAGGAGGGTGAAAAGTTTTCGAGGGGCAGGGAAGGACTCTGGAGGGCCTCAAGGCTGAGCCCCGTCTTCCCTCTGTCTCCAGAGTTTAGGGAAACCCGGGCAGCCCAGGACTTTTTCAGCACTTGTCGTTCTCCTGAGGCCTGCTGTGAACTGACTCTGCAGGTGAGGGGTCCACAAAAGAGGGAAATTATGCCTTCACCTTGTCACCTAGCAACCTGTCTCCTGTTTCTTACAGCCACTGCGTCGCTTCCCTCTGGATGCTGCCATCATTTTCTCCGACATCCTTGTTGTACCCCAGGTACCCACTCAAACCTGAACCTGAAATATAATCCAAGGACCCCTTGAAAATCCTATTAGTCCAGTGAAGTTTCAAAATAAGCACTTATCCTAACTGGATGGAGGGAAAAACTAAGGTTGAAAGAGATGAGTTTGGCAGTTTTATTATTTTCCTTCTCCTGGAATGGGCTGAACAGAATCTTTCCTCCTGGAGTTCCATTTTGGGAACGCAGATGTTTTCTCCCCATCCAGGCACTGGGCATGGAGGTGACCATGGTACCTGGCAAAGGACCCAGCTTCCCAGAGCCATTAAGAGAAGAGCGGGACCTAGAGCGCCTACGGGATCCAACAGTGGTAGCCTCTGAGCTAGGCTATGTGTTCCAAGCCATCACCCTTACCCGACAACGACTGGCTGGACGTGTGCCGCTGATTGGCTTTGCTGGTGCCCCAGTAATGTGGGACAGGGCAGGGACTGGGAGCATGGGGAGATCACTCTGGCAGATCTGGGGTAGACAAAGGAAGGAAGTAATCAGTCTGGCTTCTGCACTTATGACACCATCTTTCTATCCTTCTGTAGTGGACCCTGATGGCATACATGGTTGAGGGTGGTGGCTCAAGCACCATGGCTCAGGCCAAGCGCTGGCTCTATCAGAGACCTCAGGCCAGTCACCAGCTGCTTCGCATCCTCACTGATGCTCTGATCCCATATCTGGTAGGACAAGTGGTAGCTGGTGCCCAGGTGAGTCCTGAGAGAGAGACAAATAGGCTGGAATTTGGTCTTTAAGGACCAGAAGCAAGAGTGTCCTAAACCTGAGAGGGCAGTCTTAATGCCAGGCATGAAAGAACCTTGGCCTCCAGTAATCTAGCTGAGCAGCCAAGCTCATGCTAACACTGGCAGTGGGGCTTAATGCTCTGAGTATTCAGAGACCAAAGCTAGTGCTGGGATGTGAAGAAAGTATAACTTACTACTATTTTTATTTTATTGGAACTGGATTTATAAGTTCAGGCCGTATCAGGGATTGAAGCCATCTGGGGAAAATTGAGGTGGATTTTGTATGTGGGGCCTGACGTGCTTCCTCTTTGTGTTACGTTTCTCTTCACCATACCCTACCTGTAGGCATTGCAGCTGTTTGAGTCCCATGCAGGGCATCTTGGCCCACATCTCTTCAACAAGTTTGCATTGCCCTACATCCGTGATGTGGCCAAGCGAGTGAAGGCCAGGTTGCAGGAAGCAGGCCTGGCACCAGTGCCCATGGTGAGGACTGGGATGGGTTGAGTGAAGGTGAGCCTGTGGAGCTTTCAGGCTAAGTCCTGCATGGACTGGAGTGACCACTGGAGGGCAGCGCAGAGGTACAGCCAAGAAAAATTAGTGGTGGTAGCAAGGCCCTCTGTAGCCCGGGATCTGCTTTTTTGCAGATCATCTTTGCTAAGGATGGGCATTTTGCCTTGGAGGAGCTGGCCCAAGCTGGCTATGAGGTGGTTGGGCTTGACTGGACAGTGGCCCCAAAGAAAGCCCGGTAAGCCATGGAAGGGTGAGGCCTTGAGGTTGAGGTGAGGGTGGGGAGCTGCCATGTATGCAGTTACTAGAATGTGGCACTGGCTTTGCTTCCAGGGAGCGTGTGGGGAAGACGGTGACACTGCAGGGCAACCTGGACCCCTGTGCCCTGTATGCATCTGAGGTAACAGCCAGGGCCTCTCTGCGTCTTGAGTTTCTGTGCAGTCCTGTGGATATGGTTGTATTATTCTGTGTGTACTTTTTTAATGCCTGTCTGTCCTCTTCTACACTGTATGTACAACATAAGCCCTAGCAAGGCTGGACTTTTTGTTGCTGTTCATTTGTGTTTATGCTTCATGCCTGGCCCATACTAGGCATCTGATAAATTTTATCGAATGAATGAGTTAACACTGAGTAGAAGCATGCCTATATATGCATTTGTCACTAGTATGTATAGGGAGGACAGAGGCTTCCTGGCCCTCTTGTAGCCAGTGCCCTATTGGTCCCCCAGGAGGAGATTGGACAGCTGGTGAAGCAGATGCTGGATGACTTTGGGCCACAACGCTACATTGCCAACCTGGGCCATGGGCTTTATCCTGACATGGACCCAGAGCACGTGGGGGCCTTTGTGGATGCTGTGCATAGACACTCACGTCTGCTTCGACAGAACTGAGTGCATACATTTACCCTCAAGTACCACTTACATAGATGATTGATCATTTCTAGGACAATAAAAGTTTCAGAGTTGAACTATTGTGTAGTTTTGTTTGTGAAAGACTTGCCCATATCCTCAGTTCCTTCTTAGCCTCTGTTCCTTCCCTGGGGACTCTCTCTATATCCTCTTCACAAGTCATGGGGGTTAGGTATCAGTGAATATGTACTATAGCACTTAAGGGTCCTCACTCCCATCTTACTCTCAGATACCTAAGTCCCAGAACTACATGATGTAGGGTAGAGCTTCCTAGCAGGTTGTGACATATGCAGAAAAATGGGTGGGGTCCTCACCGCATATAAAGGCCACATTGATATGGCTTTATGTCTAAGAAGGAAATAATACATCAAAGAGGAGCACAGAAGGGGTTAGAACACTTCAGAGAGGGATGGGAAAGAAGATGGAGTCCAGGTGAGCAGGGAGAAGCTGAGGGAACCTCAGCTTTCACACCAAAATATAGGGAGGACATCAAGGCTCAGAGCTAGGTTGCTTAGGATTAGAGCTTTAGACAAGTCCATCATCACCAAGGCAAGAAGTCCTCTGAAACCAAAAGACCCTCTGGCACTCAGGTTGCTTTATATTCTTTTCTGAGCATCCCCTTTAATTTTCTCAAGATTTTGGTGTTTCTGCCCATCCTAGTGAGACCTGCTTCCCAGAACAAGGCTCTGAGGTGTCTGTAAGCTCTGGAGAAGGGTCTGGTATGGCAAATTCTTTATCATTCTTTATCCCATTGGACCACTAGGAGCCCAGTGTGTTGCAGGCTGAACCAGTTCCCTGGCCCAGCCAGGGCAATGCAGAAGGGAGAGATGGGTTTCATTTATTGAGAGAACACAATTTCTGCTTTTAGAAAAATGATCTTTTATGTGATCCATGATTTATTCATAGAAAAGCACTGTGAGTTCACGTACTTGCTAAAAAAGGGCAACTGTGATACAGAAATGAGAGTGGCTTCTTTTTAACCAACCCATTGGGCTGAGACGTAGGGGCCCTTGGCTGGACAGTAAGACTTGAGTAGTCACAGATGGCAAATATAACTTCTTGGTCAGTTTGGAGTAAAAAAGATGACAGTTTGTCAAAAAAAAAAAAGAAAAAGTAAAGAGGATGAAGTTCTTAGTTCACAGTCTAGCTATACCACCCTTTCCCTATCAACTCTCACCCCCAACTCAGGAACTAAGACATAAAACAGTAAACACCAAGACACTGTAATCCAGCTGACTCTTCTGAATGCCTCTGCTACCTCCTATAACAATTCCAGGCTGAACATCGTGGTCAGGAAGGTAGCAGGAACATGATACTCTGTGGAGCTCTGCCAGGGCTAAGACAGGGCTGCCCACTAGGGCTAGAAATTAGGAAGGGAGAGATTAACTGCAGACCAGCCCTACTTCCCAGGACAAGGCTCAAGTCAGTGAGTAATAAGACTGTGACAAAAGCAGGCAGAGGAAGCTTGAGGTAGAAAGCAGGGGAAGAAAGCAAGTATGGGGCGAGAAGAGAACCATGGAGCTAAAGCAGCCAGTCTGATGGCAGAGGGAGACTGGTGCTTAGAAGTTTGTTTGGTGAGAGAATGAACAGAGGAGGCAGAGAAATGGGGAACAAACGTTTAGCTGGTGAGACAGATTTAAGAGGAATGGGGCAGAGAAATCTGGCAAAAAGAAAGGACACATTCAGGCAGATCCTTAAGCATGAATACACAGACTACATGTAGAAACTAGTGTTCTACATGTAGAAACACACTCAGTCACACATATAAAGACATGGATGCATGGGACAATAAGTTTCAGAGTTGAACTATTGTGAGGTTCAAGCATACACACAGACACAAATGTATTTATACACATGCACTCATTTGCCCATTTATACATACACACTAAACATGCACAAATGGTGCATTTACACATAGCTGTGCATCCTCACGTGTGCAAAATGTGTATATCCTAACACAGAAACCCACAGTCCAGTATGCACATATTCACACAGGAATACAGCTATAGAACTGACACAGATACACATATTATATGTGCACATACAGACAGGCATGCACAGATATATCTATGCACAGACACAGGAACTTAGCCATACAGATACGCACACACATGATAATGGATGAAACCACACACTCTCTAATGCAAAGATGACCAGAGTAGATGAGTATTATGAACCCAGTGGCTTCCCAGACCTTCATCTTCTCCCTCCACTTGTTTCTCAGGTGTTCAGCAGGCTCCTGAAGAGGCTGTGTGAGGCAGGAGCTTCAATGTCTAAGTCCAGTCCTGGCCTCTGTCCCTCACCCATCACTGGGCTATAAATGCCCTGTCTGTAGGCAGGGGATTCTGCATAGACTAGACTTGGGATTGATTCTAACTGGCCATTTTTCTCCTTGGCAACCCCACTCTTCCACTGCTACCAGCATACACTTTGCAAGGGAAACCTGAGAAATGGTTGTGAGTCTCCTCAGAAAATAAGCATATCCTCCCACCCATAGCTACTTCAAGTGCCCATCAAATCAGAACCAGAATTATAAATAGTTACAACTTTACAATAATTGGCAACACATATGCTATAGTATTTACAGTACCATAAATGTGTCTGTTTCTCTGGTAAGCAATCCCTGAGACGGAACAGTGTTCTGTGTTTGCCAAGGGAGACAGGACATGCAGGATATAGGGGCATGAGGTGGCATGTTGTGGGGTTTCTGGTCGATCTGCAGAGCTCAGCTCATCCATGAACAGTGGGCTATAGCGAGAAGCTTGCCAAGGTAGGCATATCGACTAGAGTTGGACTCTCCCCATCCTTTGCCCTGTGGTCCTTTGGCCTCAGCCATAGGTGCTCAGAGTCCTCTCAGGGTGAACAAATGTTTCAGTGTCCTTGGTCTGACCTGATACTACCTGGGAACTCAGGCTGCCCTGGCAGTGAGCTATCTGCTTTCTCAGCCAAAGCGCTCTCGCACCAGCAGCATCAGCTTTTTCTTGCCTTTGTAGATCTGTTTGAGGTTGTCAATGAACTGGGCAAACTGCAGGTGGCCATCCTGGGGCAGCAGGAAGGTCTCCCGAGCCTTGCTTAGAAACTCAATGAACTCTCCATAGTGGCGAGGGCTGATGTGTGTTAGGCGTGAGTGTGTAGTGTTGATATAGGCATTGATGGTGGCATCCAGCAACTGGCGCAGTGGAGCTTTGTCAGTGGACATGAGCTTTCCAGAGCTGCGGCGGCCTGGGATGCCGGCCAGGCCAGGTGCAGTCACTGTGCAGCGTCGTAGGATGTCTGAAAGCACTGTGGCACAGTGCACACTCTTCACCACCAGGGGGATGAGAGCTGCCAGCTCATTCTTGCCCAGAGAGTGGCTGAGAGCACATGCCCAGAGCACATCATTGATGGCTGGGTGAGTATCCTGGTTGTAGGCCAGGTTAAGATGGCTCATGGCCAATGAGGCCAGCTTGAAGGCACGTAGCGGATAACCACGGAGCTCCATGTAGCGGGCGATGGTGAACAGCTGTGAATGGGTCATGCCACCAGCAGCAGCATCAATGGCAATCTGGTAGGCTGCCTCAAAGGCAATGTGGTCTTTTTCACAGAGTGTAAGGGCTGACAGGGCACAGCTCTGTGGATCCTTCATAGCACATTGCAGGGCCAGTGTGCGAGCACAGGTAGCCAGTTCCTCCCGCTGTGGATAGTCAAGACTGAGGCGCAGGATAGTGGTGTGGGATACAGCTGTGGCAGCTACAATACTAGTAGCCTCAGTAGGGGTGAAGAGTGTGTACCAGCTCTGCAAGATGCTCACCAGGGCCCGCACACCTGTCAGGGAGAGCCTGAGCTCAGCCATGGCCATCTGAGTCCTGATTCAGGTCTGCCCAGATTACCATTGGGATTTCAACTTGGCCTGCAGAGATGAGTTCTCCCTCCTCAGCAACCTTGAGATGATTTGAGGCAAACCAGGGCAAGGGGAGGATCCCAGATAGCCAGACCCTGTTTGGGGTCTCTTCCTATCCCTTCCTTCCCCACGTCAGAGGGTTGAAGGTTTCTGCAGGTGCTCTTAGCCCCAAACAAGGATGGGGCAGTAGAGCCTGGGGTTTGCTTACCCTGAGGCATGGGTTACAGATCTGCCAGAGGTTCTAGCTGAAGTGGGGCCTCTTAAGGTAGAGTCTTGTGCTGGGGCTTTGGGGTTTAGAAAGCGTCCTGAGCCTCCAAGTTGTCTGGGGTTTCTCACAAGCATGGACAGGGATGGGGACCAAACCACTGGACCCACTACCTCCCAAGGGAGCCCTTGAGTAGCAGCTGAAAATTCATTCTCATAGACATGTCTCTGATGAGAGGGTCAAAGTGCTGCTGACATCAGGATATGATGGTAAGGGGGATGGGGGAATGAACAGGATATGGTTCAAGCAGTGAGGACAGGGCTTGGGCTGGGTGAATAGAGGCCATCTTCTACCAGCAGCCCCAACCTTTCTTAGGCCATCAGGAATAGGAATATGAGAGTTCTAAGGATTCACTGTCTTGTCCCAAGAGTACGGCCTAGAAACTCCTTTTCCCTGGGGGTAGAGGGAGGTAGGAGACTCACCCACTTCTGTAGCACAGGTCACCAACCATCGTACCATCTCCCTGCGTCTCCAATTAAGGGTTGATAAGGTCATCCGCATCACCTGGGCACAAAAGAGGCCTTGCCAGTGGGCCATGCCTAACTGTTGTGATCTCTCCTTCCCCTTGCCATTCATTTATGCAACAAATATTTTCTGGTGCTTTAAACAGTGGTTTCTCCCTGATAAAGTGTAAGTTTAATTTCTTTCCCAGCCCTCCCACCAATCAGAGAGGAGGCTTCTCTGATGATCTGCAGAAAGTCCTTATTATCATACCTTGCTTGACTTGTAGGAATAGGGAGGAAGAGAGAAGACAGGGACCCCACAGAGCCTAAAGCTGTATCTTGCTTCTGGCTTCTGGCCTTAACTTAAAAGTGGAGTCCAATTTATGAAATTCTTGCCTTTTCCCTAGTTTAGAACTTGTGTTCTGGGCACAAAGAAGGAACCAGACTTGGTCTATGCCCAGTCTCCTGCAG